GCAATTTACCTTAGTAATTTTATCAGGGGGAAAAACCCTCCTCTATTTCAATAATTCGAGGTAAACACAACTGCAGTCTCTTCCCTCCATATCAGTGAATTAGAACACATGAAACTTCAAGGAAAATCTGTAAGAGACCCATAAGCAGGCTGAAAATGGTTCTCACCTGCCACTGTAATTTTATACAGGCAGAATTTCCATTAAGAGTAATTTCATAGATAAGATTTCTCTGGTTTTTTTGTTTGTTTGTTTTTTTCCAAATGAAGCTCATGCAGGATGGGTTTCCATTCCATGAAGTGAAATCCCTGTGGGTCATGCTGTACATGTCCTGAAGGCAATTGCGCCAGGCCAGGGAAGATGGCAGTGTGCAGGTAGCCATGGGAGTCTTCTGCCCTGCACAGGAAGAAACTGAGTTGTGGGACGAGGAGAGATGAATCAAGGATGACTTATCTCTTGCTGCAAGCAGGTCCATGTGGCCCTGGGCCATCATTTTACCCACCCGCACCCACCACAGGCTATTGGGGAACATGCCTCTCTACTTCATGACCTAGCTCAGCTGTCTCCTGTTATGGAGTCTTCCCAGATGCCCCTCTTCCCTGGTGGACCTGACCACTCCCTTCTGAGGTCTCCCCTCACCCTGTGCAGACTTTGCTCTTGGCATCTAAAGGCCTTATTTACCTCATTCTCATTCTGGGCTCGGAGCTCTTAGTTTTATTTATCTTTGTGTCCCTATCGCTTAGCACCCAGGAGATAAAAACTTAACAATGGTCAAATGAATGGGTTGCTTAAACCCAAAGCCTGGGAGTCACCCTTGATTCATCTCTCCTGGCCCCTACAACTCAGTTTCTAACTGTATAGGGTAGAACAGTCCCATGGCTACCTGCACGCTGCCATCTTTCCCCACCTGGCTGCAATTGCCTGACCTGTCTCACTGGTGCCATTTTTGCATCTCTGTGGTCATCTTTTAGCAATAAAAATCAGATCTCATGTTTAAAACTCCACGCAGCTCTGCATCTCTCTTACTCTGGAGGCAAACTCCTTAACAGGCTTGCAAAGCTCCTTAAATAGGTTTGCAAAGCCCAGCGTGGGTGGTTTTCAATTCTAGGGCATATTGGAGTCATCTGGAGATTTGGTTGAGCTTCCAATGCCGACACACAGGAATCTTTGCCAAATCCCCAGGAAGTTGTAAGGCATCACCTGGGTGGAGAACCAAAGTAATCTTAGCTCTCGCCTCTGCACACTCCCTCCCCACACAGTCACAATGACCCACTTTCAGTTCCTGCTGCAGAAGCTCACTGTGCCCTTCTCCCAGATCCTCCCACAGTTGACTCTTGTGGTCATTCAGGTCTTGGTTTAAAGATCTCCTCCCCCGTAGGGACTTCTTGCCTCTCCAGTGCCCCTTTGATAAATGGTGGCATTTCATTTTCACCAGAGCATTTGCCGGATACTTTAGCTGGTTTGTGACTTGTCCAGCTTCTCCTGAAACAAATGAAATCTCATGAAGGGAGGATCTTATCTGTTATTTTTGTTTCTGAGCATCCCCTACCAACATAACTGCTCGTTAAATGTAGAAGGAAGGAGAAAGGCATATCTAAGAAATGAATTTTGGATTGGTTTTGGGAAATGGAGGAGCGCTTGGTCAGGGCTCCCGAAACACAGTTTCTGCAACCACGAGCCACTTCCTCTCTCAACGTGCCCAAAGCTTCTCCAGTGAGTTGTGTTCCTTTCACTCAAGTGAGATTGGGAGCTGTTTGCAATGCACTTGCCCTATTTCAAACCACTTCCTCACGTCTCTTTCCTCTAGGCTAGGAAAGACCCTGCTATTTATCAGATGAGCTTGGGAACCATTAGGAAAACTCCAAGTCAGCAGCAATCAACTTGCAAATACTTTCTGGGGGTGTGGGTTGAGGTCACCAGCAGGGGAAGCCCCTTTGGACACAGTCCTGCTTATTTTGCACCTAACATAGGCTGCTGGGCCCAGAATCAAAAGTTCTGCATGGCACAGCAGGCTGAGCCAAGTTGAGGAAACACAACACTGGAGGTGTCAGAGAGCTCACATTTGCTTTTGTTTCCTCTTGGGAATCAAACCAAAGCTTAATTGTGGTATCAGGTGTTCTAAAGAAACAAACTGAAAAAAAAAAAAAAAATCTCGCTTTCCAGAGTAGACCACATACAGTTGAACCAAGATGATCAAAATCTTACAAATGGTATTTGTAATGTTTTTAATCTCCTCAGGACACCATCTGTCTACCCTGGTCTCACCCTACTCTTGAGTAGCCCATGAGGATTGCTAAGCTGGACTTGAATCTAATTCTTTGTACAAGGTTTCTTTTCCCTAAGTAGAATAAGTGACTGTCAAGAGTCACATATTTGCTTGCCCAAGGGCCTGGGAGGTATCTTGGCCCATTGCAGTCTCCATGGTGATGTTATTTTCTCACTGCTTCTTCTTGCAAATTGCTCTAGGGAAAGCTGGGAGATTTCCTTGTCCTTAGAGGCCTCATACCTAGTGTAGGGATTTTTCTATGGGTGGGGTGACCTTGCACCCTGGCACTTCTCTCTAGAAGACCATGATTCTGTTGCTAAAAAGAAGCATTCAAAGTCATTGTTCTCCATAAAGTAAGTTAGGTGTTAACACTGTACTTCACACCCTTATTTAATTTGTCAAGATCAACTCTGTTTTTGGTCAGTTGTCAATACAGCCACTTAGTTGGAAATATTCCGATTTCTTTTTCTTGTTTCTCCTTTGAGTCTTGTCTTTGAAGTTAAGTGATGGTGCCATATTCTTTTTCATGTTTGAATAACCAGATGGGACAAGCTCAGCCACTGTGTTGTTTTCCATATTGTAAGTCAGTAGCCGTGTTGTGTTTCTCCAGAGAGGAAGAAATTTCTTAGGCTCCTTGGCTCTATCCCACCTTCTTAGATATTCCTAGAAAATTCTGTCTATTCTCAAGTCTGAGAAATATTTGGTTGCTCCACTGGATTGATGAGCAAAGGGACAGGCCTGGGTTGGAGGAGATGAACAGAAACAGACCCAGGACTTCACTGGGGATCGCAGGAGGCCCACTCCAACTCTGATGGTTGGCAAGGGGCCAAGTTGCCTGTCTGCTTCTGCTGAATGAGCAGGTTGCTGCCCAGGTGTTTTAGGAAGCATGGCAGTTGCTCAAACACACCTCCATGCAACAAGCGCCCCAGGAGCATTTACATATGCGAGACCCTTTGTTAATTTACACGGCCGAGTGTCTCATGGAAATTTGAGTTATTGGAACAGGCCTTTTTCAACTTTTGCAAAAGGATATACACTTTTTTTTTTAACACACACCACTTTTAAGTGTGCCATCTGTGAACATCATTAGGATTAGTGATATGTACTTAGAATGAAAAAATCCCAGTCTCAGTGATTTTTAGCTACTGTGTACTTTCTTAAAGGATACCAAGCATACATGATTATTATGTTGTGGTTCATTACCTTTCCCCTCATTAGGAAGGGGACAAGGTGGTCTTCATCTTGCAGAGGCTGAGCAGCCCTGAGACAGGGCTAAAGACAAGAGTGACACCTCCTTCTTGCAAAATGCCCTAGGGGTAGGTGGGGGATTTCCTTGTCCTTAGAGGCCTCACAGACCTAGTGTAGGGATTTTTCTATGGGTGGAATGACCTTGCACTCTGGCACTTTTCTCAGAAAACCATGACTCTGTTGCTAAAGGAAGTATTGGGGGAACCTGCCCCCAATATTTCAACGTAGGTTCTTTTATTTTCCGTTTAAGTGTTGGCCAGCTGAGAAATTATAAAGAGAGGCATTTTACAGCTGGGCCTCCAGGGGTGACATCACATATCGGTAGGACCGTGATGCCCGCCTGAGTCTCAGACCAGCAAGTTTTCATTAAGAGTTTTAAAAGGGGAGGGGGTGTAAGAACAGGGAATAGGTACAAAGATCACATGCTTCAAAGGGCAAAAAGCAGAACTACTAATAAGGGTCTAACAAAGATCACATGCTCCTGAGGGAACAGGATAAAGGGTAAAAACAGAACCACTGATAAGGGTCTGTGTTCAGTGGTGCACGTATTGTCTTGATAAACATCTTAAACAACAGAAAACAGGGTTCGAGAGCAGAGAACCGGTCTGACCACAAATTTACCAGGGCGGAGTTTTTCTCCACCCTAGTAAGCCTGAGGATACTGCAGGAGACCAGGGCATATCTCAGTCCTTATCTCAACCACATAAGACAGACATTCCCAGAGCAGCCGTTTACAGACCTCCCCCCAGGAATGCATTCCTTCCCCAGGGTATTAATATTAATATTCCTTGCTAGGAAAAGAATTTAGCGATATCTTCCCTACTTGGACGTCCATTTATAGGCTCTCTGCAAGAAGAAAAATATGGCTATTTTTGCCTGACCCTGCAGGCAGTAAGACCTTATGGTTGTCTTCCCTTGTTCCCTAAAAATCGCTGTTATTCTGTTCTTTTTCAAGGTGACCAGATTTCATATTGTTCAAAGACACATGTTTTACAATCATTTTGTACAGTTAACACAGTTATCACAGTGGTCCTGAGGTGACGTACATCCTCAGCTTACGAAGATAACAAGATTAAGAGATTAAAGACAGGCATAAGAAATTATAAAAGTATTATTTGGGAACTGATACATGTCCATGAAATCTTCACAATTTATATTCCACTGCTGCGGCTCTAGCCAGTCCCTCTGTTCAGGGTCCCTGACTTCCTGCAACAAGGAAGCATTCAAAGGTGTTGCTCTCCATAAAGTAGGTTAGATGCTAGCATTGTACTTCATGTCCCTATTTAACTATTGTCAAGACCAACCCCGTTGTTGGCCATTGTCTATACAACCACTTATGGTGTGTCAGTCTCTACTGAGTTCTGCTTAGACTCAGGATATGGATTAGAATAAGCATCAATTAACAGATTATGAACTAACCATAATGTTACTCTAGAAATGTGCAAGATTCTATACCTTCTGAACTTAACTCTCTTCCTATTTCTTCCAGATAACTTGTTCAAACCCAAAGAACGGTGCATTTCAGAGAAGGAGATGCATATGCGATCTAAGAGGTACCTGGCTATTGTATAGTGTTCAAAGAAGTTGGTGGGGCAAGTGGGGTGGTTTGAAGGCTTCAGGTGCCCTCCAATGGGACCACTGCTTGTAGGCCCATGTTTAAGGTCTGAGGTCTTTTTGGCTGCAGACCTGAAAAAACGGCTAAAATAAGTATGGTAGTTGAAGTGTGCTTTTGAATGTTAATGCTGCTCTTGGAAAAACCTTAGGAAAGTGATAGGTCTTGGATTCTGAACCAGTCCAGTAATTGGTCTCTAAGAGATTCCCAGACTCTGAGCTGGAACTCCTGCACATTCGTATTGTCGCTCTGGGCAGGAGCTATTTGTCACTGCACCTTTGAAGGTAATTTTATGAGGGCGAGAGAAGCTATTTCTCCTAAGGGTCCGGACTGTAGCAGGGACTGAAGGAAAGGATCCAACCTTGGAGGCAGATGGCACATGGGAGCCAGTAGAGCCTCAGAGGGGCCACGAGCTAGGTTTCCTGGTGCTGTCTCCAGCAGACCTGGTGGCCACGCTGCCGGCACATCCTCCTCATTCTGCTTGCCTGGTGCCTGTTCAAGACTCCCACTAATTCTCACCAATATGGTGCACACAAAGGCTGCCATTCTTTCTGAGATCTGGCCTCTTAACCAAAATATAATAGCTCGGCAGCGTTGGCCAAGTTCATGCAAGTAAAATGTCATTAGTTTATAATAAAGTACCTAGCACAGGGAGGAATTATAATAATTAAATCAAATTGATAGCACACTTAAAGAAACCATTGAAATAGGAAGAATACTTTTCTCCCCACTTCAGGCATACAATTTCTGCTTTTACCATGATCATATTGTTTCCATGGTGACTAGGTAACTTTGATCATTTATTGGAAGGCTCTTTGTAAATAAGGAAGTGAAAACGAGGAAAAGGGAGACTGTCCCATTAAATACTTGATTCGTAGCATTCTAATTGGGGTTTTTAAAGGGCCACTGGGCTTTAAGACTTGCTATTTCAGAAGTGCAAAGTTGCATATGCCTCATGCCAGAACCATTCCCTTTTCAATTTACAGAAAAATTTCAGCCAAATCCTCCCCTCCCAGTCCCCAAACCCTAAGCCACCATTATGGAGCCTTGCAAACTAAGCAATTAAAATAATAGATCTCAAAGTAGCATGAGTAGTCAGAGAGTATTGCCCTATCATTTTACTGAAGAGGAAACTGAGGCTCAAAGAGGACAACTGAGCTAGGTGACGTTGCACGTCAAGTAACTGGCTTCCCCCAGCAGGTCTCCTCTGGTGGACTTAGCAGCTGGGTTTACACTCTGCTCTGTGGATTATACTTTGGGTGGGCTCTGACTCTGGCTCACCCACAGAATCACCTGGAGCTTTCTTTTCTTTGTATTGTTTGCTATTAATTATATTGTTAAATTACATTTTTATTTTAAAAATGCAAACAATGCAGATAAAGCTAAAGTCCCCTCATGACCAGTGGTTCCCCTCCCTGTTCCCAGCCCACTTTCCCTGTCCCAGTGTCAGCTCCTCAGATACCCACAGTGATATCTCCTATGTATCGTCAGGCCTTTCTCTTTGCCTTAAAGTAGACTTTTATTTGTGCATATATAGTCAAGTGATTTTTAACTATGAATGGTATCATACTACACACTATCTCTTGGTAGCTTGTTTTTTCACTTTATGTCTGTGAACCCCTTCTGTGACGAATAGATAGATTATTTTCTTTGTTGGTTTTGACTGTCTGCAGAGTGGTCCATTGCATAGATGGACCATGATTTATTTGGAAAGTTCTCTTAAGAAAATACTGAATCAGAAGTAACAGAGGTGGGACCTAGGAGCCTTTATTTTACACTTCCCAGATAGATTAGTCAGGGATCCCCAGTGGGATAGAACTAATAGGATATATGTATATAAAAGGGAGTTTATTAGGGAGAATTGACTCACACGATCACAAGGCAAAGTCCCACAATATGCACGCTGGGGAAGAGAGAAGCCAGTAGTGGCTCAGTCCAAGTCCACAAGCATCAAAACCAGAGAAACCAAAAGTGTAGGCTTCAGTCTGTGGCTGAAGGCCCAAGAGCCCCCTGGTGCAAGCCCAAGAACCCAAAGGCTGAAGAATCTGGAGTCTGATGTCCAAGGGCAGGAGGGGCCAGAGGAGGAGCATCTAGCATGGAAAAAGAAGGAAGCCAGAAGACCCAGCAAGCAAGGTTATCCTGCCTTCTTCCTCCTGCTTTGTTCCAGCCACGCTGGCAGCTGATTAGATGGTGCCCACCCACACTGAATGTGGGTCTTCCGTTTCCAGTGCACCAACCCAAATGCCAATCTCCTCTGGCAACACCCTCACTGACACACCCAGAAACAAGACTTTATCAACCATCCAGGCATCCTTCAATCCAATCAAGTTGGCACCTAATATTAACCACTCTGCCAGGTGATTGAGATGGTTAGTATCAGAAAGATCAGTCTATATGGATCTGAGATTCCCACTGCAGAGCTTTGAGATATCTTTGCTTTCTAACTGACTCTTTAACAGTTTTCTCTCCCAGTCCTTCCCAGAATCACTCCCGAATGTGGCAATTATGTCTTCATTTTTTCATTCATTCATTCAACCCATGTTGATGCCTACAGAGTGCTAGGCACAAGCATTTCCAGGATCTCACGAGTAGCTTCATGCCATATTATGGTTGGGTGACAGGGTTGTGTAGAAAGAGTCAAACAGACCAAGGTTCGAATCCCAGCCCACCACAAGCCAGCCAAGGGACTGATACAAACCTCCTGATCTTACTGGGGCTTGGGTTTCTCATTTATATAACAGTGGGACACTATATGCCTCTTCCAACTGTAGTGAATATGACATGAAATAATTCATGTCAAGCAATTCAAGCCTAGTGTCCAATACCTAAGATGTCTTCTGCAAAGACAGTCGTCATCATTTTTCTACATGGTCCTTATTATTTTAATGGTGGAATATCTTCCCTATATCGTATCTGGCTTCCAAACACGAGAGAAAGATGTTTTAGCCGAGCGCCACATGTACAGCAATCCAAATGCTCAGGCTACAGGGACTCCACTGTGTCTGTGGATTATAATGAAATATTAATTGGCATCAGTCCATGAAGTTTCTGTTAGAAAGTAGGAAAGAAGTGTCCAGAGGAAGATCCCTTGGGCCCTTAATTCAAAGTGCAATAGGTTGAGAGGTAAAAACACACACACTTATATGTGTTTTATTACAGTATTATAATTCCTGCTACTTCTATTTATTTACTGTTCTTTTTCTAAGTCACAGGAAGGCAAACATTGAGTGGTAAGAAGGTATTTGGAAACAAGTTTACAATCAGAATACTAAAGGAGTAGGTTTAGAATCCTTCATTTTATGATTAATTTGTTAATTATCATAGAGAATGGAGGGACAAAAACAATGACTCTAAATAAGGAACTGGCCTCTCCAGCTTTGCTGCTGGTGGGACTCTGCCTGTTTCATTGACCCAGGTAGCACGGGACAAGGTGCCATCCCCTGCCATACAGCGGGTTCTGGGTATGGTCAGGGAAGCCCTTCGTCCTGGCATCCTACAGTTGTGAGCTAGTCCATAAGCAGCAATCTTCTCTTTGAAATGTAAGAGCCTGCCGTCAGGACAGGATGCAGCCCCACGGCGGGAGCGCGCTGTCAAGCTACCATTCCAAATGTGTTCTGAATCTGTTTCAGAATTTATAATAACTTGCCGGAAGTTAAAAAGAAAAAAGAAGAACAAAGGAAAAGGGTGATCTTACAAAGTAACAGACTCCGTGCCGAAGTCTTCAAAAAGGTAATGGCCTCGTCACCAGCAGGTGTGATGTGTGTGGCGCACAGATGCTGAATCTGAACTTGACATCTTTGTTTCCCTTTTCCTCTAGCAATTGCTGGACCAGCTCCTTCAAAGGAATGCGGTCTAACCGCAGGCTGCCCTGCTGACCACACTACCTGGACCTGGGAGGACTTCAAATGCTGGATAAGCCATTAAACTTAGCAATATCTTCATGATGGGAAAACACTTATTTTACCTTTGATTTTTTTTTTTCCATAAAGGAAAACATCACTTTCTGAATTACTGACCCAAGCCAAACAGAAACAATAACACTTGAGGAAATAGGTCAACAATCTGTTGTGGGGAAACCACCTCCATGTAACCCACTAGACACAGTCCCCTTCACGTTTTTGCTTCTGAGTTGTACCTTTTGCTTCTGATTTGTTCTCCCCTGCTGTTTCCTGCCCATCAGAGAGGCCTTATACAAGCAAGTTTGCTTACATCCCTGGGGAATATTTTACATCAAACTTTTGGGATCCAAATCCATCTCCTTTTAAATTTCAATACCAACACCTGCCAGTTATACAAATGCCAAAATGTGGGTCATCATATAGTATATTTTTAAACTTTCTGAACATGTACACCACCAATGCTAGAGGCTGACTTGGAAACCAGTGGGTGCAATGCCCGAGGCTGTGGAACAATCAGCCCATCTCTTTGTGACCTGAAGCAGTCAGAGTGGCCCTCAGTCACCCCGCCCCCAGCACCGTTTCTCACCAGGGAGAAAAGAATCCATTGCTATGGAAGCTCTGGTGTAACTTCAGTGTTTTCTGCAACACTCCTCCTGCCCCACCCCATAAAAAAAAAAGTTGTTTTGTTAAGAAATAGCCTAATGGTCCAGCTTTGCTGTCTGTTCTTCCAAATGTTTATAATACACATTATTTATAAATATGTGTGTTTGGGAAGCTAAGAACAAGCTAGCTTTTACAACACAAATGGAAATAAATGCAGTTATTATAAAAATTCAAGTATTTCTCTGTTATATATTCTGTTATGAAGTAGGTGGCCAGGATAGATAACATAAGGTATAAAATGCTGCCCAAGACCCAGCAGGCACTACTGACCTGCTCCACATCCTCTTCTGCCTCTGACCACCATGGAAGTCCTTGTGATTCTAGATGCTCCAGTGGCTAATGTTGCCTCCTAGACAACTGGTAAGAGAAAAGCTGGTAAAACCATCGAGAGCAAGATTTAGGATCCTTCAGACTCTAAATCTTACTAGGATTCTCCCTGGAAATGAAACAAAAGGTTTGGGGATGAAGCAGGAGCTTGGTGATACCTCTGTCCCTTCCCTGAAGTTGTCACCCTTCCTTCCTCCCTCCCGCTGCTGTACATACTGTCCCCTCTTTCTGAAATGCCTTTCTTTTACACATCTGCTGCAAACTGTTGAAAACTCCACCCTGGGGTTCTCTCCTGACATGTGTCCTCTCTGCCTTGCCCTCCAGTATGAATCAGAGACCTCACATCAGCACACACTGAATCAGACTTGTGCTCTCCTGCCCACGCAAGGGTCTGACAACACTGTCAAGCACGGAAGCTGCCTGATTTCCAATCTTGGCGGCTGCTCCCTGGTCTGTGGCCTCTGGCAAGGGTGTCAGTCTGGGTCCAACTAGGAGAGAGAAACCACACAGTCATTTGAATGGAAAAGTTTAATATGTTTAATCATTAACCTTAATAGCAGATTAGAGTAGCAAAAGGTTGGCTAGTAAGTTATAAAGATAGCCCTCAAGAATATAGTGGGTACAGCAAATACAAGGAGTCCTAGGAAGAGTGTTCCTCCTAGTCCTGGGCTGAGAGGGAACCACAGGGGCTCAGCAGGTGGTGGAGAAGTTTCTGTGGTGGTGTGCCAGTGGAACTTGGTGAAAATCTACAAATCTCTCTGGAACTTGCCAGAGATCTGCCCTCTAGGATCCACAGGGAACCATCTCCTTGGAGACACTGCTACAATACCACCTCAGGGAGGGGACTGGGGAAGCAGCTGGCCATGAGTGCTGCTGTCCACATGCCACCTGCAGGGCCTGGCACTGCAGCTGGCTGGGCAAATACACTGCCTCTGGGAAGCAGCACCCTTTTCTCCTGCAGTTTCTCTCTAGGTCTCTCTACTGACAAAGCCTAACATTGTGTCAGCTGGCAAAGGGAAAATACTGAAAGGGCCTGGATCCATTTTAACAGAGCAGACAAAAAGGGTGAATATGGAGTGAGAGAGAATATAATCAATATCTGGCACAGTGAGTTATTTAACTTTGCCTTTGTTTCCTTAACCACAAAATGCGGATAATTATAGTGCTCCCTTCATAAGGTTGCTATGGGAATTGAATAAGCCAGTGAGTGTTGGATGCTTAGAAGTATGACTAGCCTAAAGCGAACACACCATGAGTGTTTCCTATTCTAAGTAGAGGTGGAAGTTAGGACTGTCTTGGGAAACCTAAGAGCACAGGGGCTGTGAGTTGGTCCTCCTGGAATCCCTCAGCTCTGTAGTGAGTGCTACACAAGACCATTGAACTCATGGGTGCTGGTACAGCCAAAACCTGCCAATATAAATAGCGTGCTTCATAAACTTCTTCCTTTTATGTTCTTCTCACACTCAGAAACCATTTCAGCAGGTGACAAGCTTGCCTTCAGGTTAATTTCTGTTTTCTTGAACTCATTAGACCTCTTCCAGGATGTTACACTGAATTTCTATTTATACTTTAAGTGATTTTTTAGAAAACATTTAAATCCAATCTATGATATTAGTTAAGGACAGTCTTTCCCAGATAAAGATCCTGCACATGGCTAGGTATGATGGTTCATGCCTGTAATCTCAGCACTTTGGGAGGCTGAGATGGAAGGATCTCTTGAGCCCAGGAGTTCAAGACCGGCCTGGCAACACGGTGAAACCCTGTCTCTACAAAAAATGCAAAAACTCATCAAGCTAATGTTTTAATTTTCTATCATCAGTCATTGAAACTCAGGGCCCAACCACTTCTAGATGGTTCTATGACGCTTTTTAGATTTGTGTTGGCTAACATTTAAAGAGAGAATGCTTAGATGGAGCCAACCTTCAAAAATGCCCACAAAGAGCCTCATCCCCTTTGCAAATCCAATGCCCAGCCTTAAAATCTAAAGGATAAACAAACATCAGCTTGAAAGGAAATGCCTCTGAGTCATGTATTTCTGAGAACAGGTCTTAACTAAGGTGGCTAGGATGGAGAATTAAGGTAGGAATATGTGATAGCTGGTGTGAGCTGGTCTTTCCTCTGGGCAGCAGGCTCAGGACAAGGCTGGAAACTAAGATTTGGGTTTCTGTTGAACTAATTTTTTTTTTTTTTTTTGGCCTGTTGTTGTAACTGTCCTTCGATGCTGAGAAAGGAATTCAGAGAGCCAGTATTTCATTTCTGTTATGAAAGATGTTAGCAGGAATATAATGTAATCATGTTATAATTCCTATGAAAGTAAAGCCCTGAAGAATCGTAACTGCTGTCCTTTATATTTCTCTCAGGAATCGGTTACCCATTTTTTGAATTCTGTTATTAAAATCAGACTTCAGGGAATACTTTGAGGTTTTGGAAAATTCTAAATAGAATTTACCATTGTAACTTCAATCATTAAATTCTGTTCTGGAATAGATTTATTTACGTCTGAGTGTGTTTCAGTTCTGGCCTAAAACAATTCTTCAGTGATACAGCCGGCAGCAAGGGGTAAAGATTGTTAGAGGACATTCATGAGCTTAGACCAAGCAACATCTGAAATAACTTGAGGTATCCAGGTGGTGACAGCACTGGACCATCTCACTGCGGTCTCCATGACTTCATGTCGAAGGAGCAATTCCTATTTCGGCTGTTTTCTCTGCCAGCTGGTAATGAAATAATGGAAAAACAATTGCCTTGGTTTTGTTAGTGTCTATTGCCAACCAAACTTCCTGGAAGTTTGCGGGCTCCCCGAGTGAGTCAGCAAATGCTTGTCGGATGTAACAGGGCTCTTTGAAGAAACTGTTCCTGAAACAGCCAATTGTGGGAGAGCAGTTGAGACTTTGATGCCTGAGGTTCTCCCATTTCAACATTTGGTATAAAAATTGCAGGCAAGGGGCCTGGTCTCTGACCGCATCAAATGACCAACGGTCTGAGTATGAGGCACATCAGGGGCAGAATAAGCGAAGAGAAAGTGGGGTGATGTGGCTGCCCAACAGGAGGTATCTGGCAGTTGGTGTGTGAGAGCTCTGGGTTCAGGAAATAACACAAGAAAAACGATCCCCTGTGGGTCTGTGTGAGTGTGTCTGCATGAGCATTAAAAGCAAAGGAAATAATCTGTTTGGTAATGAAAATGAGCCCATTAGCAGAGGGTCTTATGTTATAGAGTTCATTGTAGTTGTGCTTTTATCAATACTTGATAATTACCCACGAATGTCTAGCTCTGATAGAAACCCTTTGGAAGTGGCTGTCACTGGCTGAAGCAGCCCGCACCGGGACTGAATGGCTTTGGAAATCTCCCCAGCCTTCTCCTGAGTGTCCCACGCTGAGGGAACGTTTCCCCACTTAGGCAGGAGAGCAGGCTGCCTGGGAGACCCTTGAAATTCCATCAGATCCGCCCTTTCTGCCCACAGTCGCTGCTTGTTTGGGAGTCGGGGACTCCTTTACTCACACAGATGTTTCAGCCACATGGAATGGAGCCACGACTTTGGCATGTCACTTCCAAAATTCAGGGATTTTTTTCAAGTCAGGTCAATTGCCTCAGGCACAGTTTTGATCCTGAGACCGCAAGAAACAGTCTGAGGTAATGGCCTGGAGTGTGTGTTGGGCAGCGGGGTTGAAATCCTTCCATTTTTTATCCTTCTCTGAGAAGGTTTCCGCATACACATTCTGGATGCTGCCGTGACCTGCCAGGGTGCAGCCAGAAACAGGATGTCAACCTGTGGCTCTTCTCTCACATCTTTGCACATCAGGAACTTGAAGAGCAGGGAGGGGAGGAAGAGACTGGACTTGCCTCTAGAATCTTAAAAAATGCCGGGTTATTCTTATCAAAGCTTAAAAGGAAAGAGAAAGCAGCTTATGATCTGAATTGCTGCTGAGAAAAAAAAAATGAATTTCTTTAAATCATTTTTATTAAATAGCACCAAGAGTGAATGGCATAGGAAAAAGTGTCCTTTTGATGACTTTCAGAGCATTCTTCCTCTGTTTAAACATCTCTACTTTCCTGACATGCCTGAAACGGTACAACAGCTGTAACTGACATCAGGGAAAAGATATTACAACCGTCACCCGTGTTAACTCCATACGCCAGGTAATATCCTTTCATCAAAGCCAACGGGGCTGCCTGCTTTACCTGCCCAGTGATGTCAGTGAGAGGGAAATTATAAATCTTTTCACAGCTGCCAATTGATAAAGAAATAAAGCACACTTTTGTGTTATATCCACTATGGTTCCTCTTGGCTGATGTTATCACATGGGTACCAAAGAAATTAGTGATGACAGCACACTTAACGGGTACACGTTGCCAAATATGTGCTTAACATTAAAAGCTACTGAGTGCATAGACAGAAGTTTTGTGTTTGTTTTTGTTTAAAAATATACCCGAAGGCGAGTAAGGCCAGATTTAATTATTATATGCTGACATAATTAAAATGCCCGGTCTTGCTCTCTCAGCTGAAATATTTATTAAATCAAAATGACAGAATAATTCAAAATATTTTCTGTTATTGGTTTTTGTTTTTTGTTTTTTTTTTTTTCCAGTAGCATGTGACATTGTATTAACAAGGCTGAGCCTGGCTCTTTACAATGGAAAACAAATGTTTGTTCATGGATTAAACTGAGGTGTATGGACACCAATATTTCTCAATAGCGGTTTTGATTCAGGTGGATGATGCATATGTTTCCACTGAAGCATTTCTTCCTGATTAGGGTGTTTCAACCCTAAATCTCAATTAGCAGTTGATTAATATTCCCCCTCCTCCCACCCCCTCAACACAGGAGGTGTTTTCTGATTGGTTGGTGAACAACCTCTAAACAGGGACAAGAGCCTGAGCGGAAAACTCCTGAACCCGGAGAGTGCGTTCTGAACATTTCTCAAAAGAATAGCTTACATTTGTTTCTTCTGAGTGCTAACCAAGCGACATTCACTTGTCATCTACTTTCTGTGTTCCCGCTGGGCACAGCAGCTTTAACTCATGCAAATCAATTGTTGCCTCTGTATATCCCGTTCCCGCCCTGGCCCTTTTAGGAGCTTCCACCCTACTGCTAAGTGGGGACAGCAAGTTAGTATCTTGTCTCTTCTGTTCCTTTTGGAAGTGCTGTCACTGGCTAAAGCAGCCCGCATGTGGGACTGAATCACTTTGGAAACCCTCCCAGCCTTCTCTTGAAACAAAGAGTTCCATTTCATGTACAGGTCCCATCAGTTTGAAATGAAGCCCTGCCTAGGCTCACACTTGGCCTTTCCGAGTTCTGCCACCACCAGCTCCTTCCCAAGCTTGCGGCTAGCTTCATGATGGGGCTTCCTGGGGAGGGGATGAGCAGGACAGTCTCAGCTCTGTGTCCAGGGTCCTTGGGTAGCAATGGAACTGCTATGGACTGAATGTTTGTGTTTATATGTTGAAGCTCTAATCCCCAATGTAACTGTCTATATTTGGAGATGGAGCCTCTAATAAAGTAATTAAGTTAAATGAAGTCATAGGGTGGGGCCCTGATCTGATGGAATTAGTGTCCTTATAAGAAAAGACTCCAGAGCCTTCTCTGTCTCTGCCTCTGCCTCTGCCTCTGCCTCTGTCTCTCTCTGAGAGCACACAAGGAAGAGGCCCTGTGAGCACACAGTGAGATGATAGCAGCCTACAAGTCAAGAGAAGAGACCTCAGAATGAAACCTACTCTTCCAGAACCTTGATCCTAGACATCTCAACCTCCAGAACTGTGAGAAATCCATTTCTGTTGTTTGAGCCACCCAGTTCGGGGTATTTTGTTATGGTACCCCAAGTTGACTAACAGGGGACCCTTGCTGTCCTCAGTGGTGACAGGGTCCCTTGCCCATTCTACTGGCATCTGCTGCTCAAGTCTATAGCAGGGAAACTGTCAACTTGCTGACTGTGCTCCACCTTTGCACTCACAGGGACTATCTGTCCCCCTGAGGCTGGCCGTGGCTCCCATAGACCCAAGGCTCTGTGGTCTACTTTGCAGCCCTGGGCTGCAGGAGGGCTCTATTGATGCTGGCACAATTCTGGGCAAGTTAGGCAACCAGTACCATCAGCTACCTTCCCCATTTGCCCCTGTGGTTTACAGGAGCTTCCTGACACCTTCCTGCATGCACCATGGAAGGGCATGGAAACCTGCTGAAGAACCAAGCTGGTGGAGGTGGATTTCTCCCCAGGTTATATCCTGAATTCTCTCTGCCCTGGGCAATATATTGGGCCTCTGGGACCCAGGCCCATAGGCATAGCTCTTGAAATGCTCATGGAACTCCAGAAAATTACTCCCCACTCCCCTACAAGGCCTGGTTTTTCAAGACAACTGTGTCATGAAAGATGTTAAGAGACTAGGTTTTAGGGCTTGATGGCCCCTTTTTTATTTTGTGAGATTTCTCCATTACTTTCTTTTCTAAGGGAAAAAGTCTCTGGCTAATGAACAGATGTTCCCTATGCATTTAAAACTCATGCCCAATCCACACTTACTATTCTCAGGAGGGCCCTGGGAGCTAGGCAGCAGGCAGGCTCTGGACTGACTTCCTTTTTTTTATAGGGGCCAGAGGTGCGTGGGGGTTAGTAATCATTTTAAAAGTCAGATGCAATAAGAATATGATGATATCAGAATCACTATTTAAAGTCCCTTAAGTGTCATCTTGATGACAGACTAACATATCTCTTTACAGGTCAGCTCACCCAGACAGCTTCCTTCAGCTCTGAAACAGATCGATTGAGCACCAGATGAAGTTGGCATGGATGGGAGATGTGATGTACAAGAGGTATTTCCTTTAAAATATTAGACTGTTATTCAGCATGAGGAGAAGGCCACGCTTTGAGAAGCAAGGGAACCACACATAGATTTACATCTCCCATCTGGTTCTGCCTCCAGGGCAGAGGCTGTATTGGAATGATGAGCAGTCATTCAACTGCTGGTGAAATTGTCCTCTCTCTTCCTCCCCGAGCTCATCTCTGAATTAAGAGAAGCATGCACATGTGAAGCACTGCCCTTGAATAGTCCCCATTGTACGTGAGGAGATGGAGTAAGCCAGAGAACACGTGTAACTCACTCAGAGTATTTCATGTTGGTGGGTTGGGACTGAGCTTTGAACCACGTCTGTTTCCCTCCTGAACTCTGAGCTCTTATACTGACATCATGCTGCAGATGGTGTACATGTGTCTAAGAATGAAAGATACAGATTTTTCAGGTTTCACTAAAATGTTAAGTAATTTTACTGGCCCCAGAGAGCCTTAAATTTTAGAATAGGATCCCTCAAAGCTTTAGGAAAATAAAATTAGAAAATATTTGCCTTGGAAAATTGCATCCTTAACAAAATAAGGAAAAATTACATAGGGTTATCATGGTGTAGGTTTATTGTGATGTGGGAATCATGGAGGATGTGATGTTTCCACCAGACTGAAAGCACCCTGGGGGCAGGGGCTATACCATGCTTCTCTTCCCTAGAAACTGGTATCTCCAGTGTCAGGACATTCTCCTCACTCCAGTGTCACCAGCCATCAGGGCTTAGTTTTTCCCTTACATCGCCAGCTGTTTCTCCCATTCTTCCCTCTGTGTCTCACTCCATCTAGAAAAGCAAACATTGCTTGTGTTCTCTCCCCAAAGTCAAAAGTAATGGGACAGGCAGACCGTCCTGAAATTCCAAGCAGAAATTACTGCTACATTTGAATCAGATTCTAAGAGGTGAGAAAGGCTTCTTTATTTTCCCAACTTGTATTTTAAGTTCGAGGGTACATGCGCAGGGTGTGGAGGTTTGTTACATAGGTAAATGTGTGCCATGGTGGTTTGCTGCACAGATCATCCCATCATCTAGGTATTTTTGTCCAGCATCCATTAGCTATTCTTCCTGATGCTCTTCCTTCTCCCACCCTCAGGATGTGTTGTTCCCCCCATGTGTCCATGTGTTCTCATCATTCAGCTCCCACTTATAAGTGAGAATATGCGGTATTTGGTTTTCTGTCTCTGTGTTAGTTTGCTGAGGATAATGGCTTCCAGCTCCATCCACATCCCTGCAAAGGACACGATCTCATTCCTTTTTATGGCTGCATAGTATTCCATGGTGTATATGTACCAAATTTTCTTTATCCAGTCTATCAGTGATGGGCAGTTGGGTTGATTCCATGTCTTTGCTACTGTGAATAGTGCTATAGTGAACATATGTGTGCACGTATCTTTATAATAGAATGATTTCTATTCCTTTGCGTATATGCTCAGTAATAGGATTGCTGGGTCAAATGACATTTCTGCCTCCAGGTCTTTGAGGAATCACCACACCGTCTTCCACAATGGTTGAACTAATTTACACTCCCACCAACAGCGTAAAAGCGTTCCTTCTTCTCCACAATCTCGCCGGCATCTGTGGTTTATTGACTTTTTAGTAATAGCCATTCTGACTGGTGTGAGATGGTATCTCATTGTGGTTTTGATGTGCATTTCTCTAATGATCAGTGATGTTGAGCATTTTTTCATGTTTGTTGACTGCATGTATGTCTTCTTTTGAGAAGTGTCTGTTCACATCTTTTGCCCACTTTTTAATGGGGTTGTTTTTTTCTTGTAAAATTGTTTAAGTACCTTATAGATCCTGGATATTAGACCTTTTTCAGATGGATAGGTGGCAAAAATCAGAAAGACTTCTTATATACACTTGTGGATCAGTGCTGGTCACATGCCCCAGGCCATGATTCTTCATCAGTGCTAAGGCGTTCTTCTAGTGGACATCTCAGCATTGACGTGTTCAGAGTTGTGAGGGACTTGGATGGTGATTAAGCAAAAGAGGATGTCCTGGCAGCAACAACCTGGGCCAGAAAGTGGAAACAGCCTCCTGAATTCTGAACTTCCCAGGTTACATTAATGGAGGTGCTTTACTCTTGATACGAAAAAAAAAAAAAAAAAAAAAAAAAACTAGCCGGGCGAGGGTTAATACGCCTGTGAACCAAGATCACATCACTGCACTCCAGCCTGGGCAACAAGAGCGAAACTCTGTTACGAAAAAAAAAAAAAAAAAAAAGAAAAGGAACTGGACCAGGCAAGGTTTCAGCAAATACATGTCACAACTGCACTATGATACAAAGAAACAAGTTTATTCCAACTTTATAACTTTCTCATCCTTCTATAGAATACATGCATTTCCCTAAACATATATATTATTAATAGCCCATAAAATATTAACTCCATCTAAAAATGCATTATTAACAACATAATGAGTGCAATACACACATCGGTTTTCTCTAGACACTTTATTTAGAAACCCCAAGCTCTTTTGTTTTGGATGTCGGTGAAAAGAGACAATTCTAGAAATGTTTATCTAGAAATTCTAGAAATATTTATTTGTAATGATCAAGAAAGTTCATGATCTTGTAGTCAAGGAGTCAACACAGAATCAATAGTTTGGTTCAAAAAGTAAGATTTCAAATCAAAGATTGTTCCCCAAAGTTGAGAAAACACAGAGGTACTGTGAAGCGGCACATCGTTATAGATGCACTATGTGGTATTTTGTTTGGTTTTGTTTGTGGGCGCTTTTTCTAAAATGGGATTTAAAGTCCAGAGACCATAATTAGGCCCACCGCAAATGATATTATTGTTGTCTTTAATGTATGGCCTTCAAGACATCATAAGAAGGTTCACAGTGACAGTTTACTCATGGCTGTGAGCTTGTGGACATGAGTTTCTGCTTTAAAACAGTGCTCTGACTTTGCTCTTTGAAGACAAGCCCTGAAAAATCAGCTCTATGTATTTTCATAGATCATCAATATTAGAAGGTGCACATGGTAATTCAAGTCTCTGAAGAGGAAGAAGGAAGATGTTGACTTCAGTCTTCATTTAGTCCTGTTATGGGACTTCCAGACACTGGAAAAAGCTCATCCCTGCAGTCGGTCGGAGGATATTGTCCTGGAAGGGGCAGCTTTCACATATGGTTTGAATTCAATTAGCCAGCTCCTCTGAGAGCCACTAGAGTACCATTTAGGACATTGCTTCTTGAATTCTCATTTGCAGTCTTGCAAATAATTTTCAAAGGTCATTAGACCATAAGGAGTTTTCATTACCCTTCATTCATGTCAACAGCAAACACTTACTGATTGAGCGTCCACTTGGTGCCCTCTGCTAGGTGCTTCCAGGTACATCAAAAAAGGGATGCAGTACAAAACTAAAATGACTAGAAGCAGCAGCATATGGAAGGTAAAATCTTTCCAATAAGAGCAATTGAAGAAACGTTTCTACAAATGTTAAGCTGTAAGTCAAATGTTTTTAAAAAGAAAGAAAAGATTTGATTAGACAAAAATGAGAAACTGCTTGCTATGGTCTGAATGTGTCCCCCCAGATTCATATGTTGAACCTTAATTGCCAATGTGAGCGTATTAGGAGGTAGGGCCTTTAGGAGGTGGTTAAGTCTCTGCCTTCATGAATGGGATTGGTGCCTTTATAAAAAAGGTGCAAGGAAGCTGCTCATCCATTCCACCACATGAAGATGCATCCAAAGGTGCCATCTGTGAAGCAGAGAATGCCCTTCAAACTAGACATCAAACCTAAATTGGCCTTGATCTTGGGCTTTTTACCCTCCAGAACTGTGAGCAATAAATTTCTGTTTTTTATAAATTATCCCGTCTAAGGTGTGTTGTTACAGCAGCCCAAACATACTGAGGCACCCTTGAATGTCAAAACACACTGTAAACAAAATTTAAAAGGCAAATGGCAAAATGGGGTAAATATTTAAAACCATAAAGGGTAAGATCCTTTATGAAAGCATCATGTAGCTCAATAAAGGGAAAACAGTCCAACAGAAACATGGTTCTAGAACATAAGCCCTTCACAGAAGAAATGCAAATCACTGACGAACATACAAAATGCCAAGAATAGCTAACATTCAAAGAAATACAATAAAAATAATGAAACATTTAAGCCTGTCAAATTTTCCTCTTCTTTTTCGTTCTTTTTTTTTTTTTTTTTTTTTTTTTTAAGATTCAACGCCATTAGTGAAAGCACAGGAAACACTGTGGAGTTGGAGGTGTGGGTCATTGTCTGCCTGTTCATGCCCTGTTCTAGGTATTCTGTCCTCTTCCCAGGCTACCCTACCCACCCATTACTTCTCTGACCTACACTCACCATGGAGAGCAGCTCATCAGCAAGGGCCCGGAGTGTGGGGCCATACACTCTAGCAAAGCAAAGGCTCCCAGGAGCCGAGTGAAAGAACTCAGAGCCTTGCAGAGAAGCTACTCTCCCACTAACCGGAAGCTGGAGCAGATGAGATGGCAGCAGAGACAACACACACAGACATAGCACCTGGCTCTGTAGGTGGGCAAGCCTAGGCTGTGTTTCATCCAGTTGAAGGCACTGAGATCCCCCAACAAGCCTACAACGGACCCTGCATCTCACCTGAGCTGCTGTGAGCTGGGCTCTGTTTTTAGCCACTGACAGAGCCGTGCTCCTGCATTGCTAGGGGTACAGCGCATTGGTGGAACTTTTCCAGGGCACGTGGCAATTTGTATTAGGAGCTTTCAGTTGGGAGTTGTTTTTCAACCCAGCAATTCCCAGTAAGGGAATTTATCAAAGATATGACTAAAGATTCATGTCCAGGGACAGTTACTGAAATGTTATTTTTTATTAGTGAAAAATTGGAAACAATTTAAAAGCCCCACAGGAAGGAAATTGTTTCTGTCCGTAAGATGGTATACAAAGGTCATGGTAACATATCCATGGTGTGGCCTTGCAAAGTCTGCTGCTGAAAAAGTGAAATAATATGAACCCTCAATTGGCAAAAAATGATGCTTTTATGCATAAAAAACACTGAGAGTGTATCATCTAAAATCTATTAATCTTTTATTTTGAAATAATATCACTTGTATAGGTAAGTTGCAAAAACAGTACAAGGAGTGCTCATGTGTCTTCACCTCAGCTCAACAATTGCTGACACTTCACAACATTTGATTTATTGTTCTCTCTCCATACATACATATTCACTCACATATAATTCTTATTACATGACTATCACAATTTTATACAATATATACATATACAATATGTATGTGAATTATATAACTTACATAGTTTTATATAATTTTGTATATATTATATATGTGTGAACATGTATGTTATTCAAAATGTAACTATGCATGTTATTTAAAATCATATACATTATTTTTCTGAACCATTTGATGGTAAGTTGCAGAAATCATATGCTTTCACCCCTCAATAGTGACCTTCAAATGTTATTTATATTTTTTGCCTCTTTTGTTATTCTGTATTTCCCAAGTTTTCTATCTTTGTAATTAGATAAAAATAACAACATACGTTATCTCAAGAAGTAAATCACAACTGTTTACTTCTGAAATTCTTTAAGTAATTTAAAAATTACATCTAGACAATAAGTTGATATATTCGTTTGAAATAAACTTAGAAATACATACGTTAAGCTTTAAAGATGTACATTTCTTTTGAACAAATAATCCTTCTGGGACTCCATTCTAAGAAATTATTCTAAAATTGCAAAATGGCAAGATGAACAAAATGTGTTTATAGTATTCATTTAAGAGAAAAAAATGTCTAACAACAGAGAAATGGTTATGAAAACTAGCACATCCTTCTAAAGAAAAAGTGTTCATCCATTAAAATGGCACCTGTGGCCAGGTGCAGTGGCTCGTGCCTGTAATCCCAGCACTTCGGGAGGCCAAGGCAGGCGGATCGCTTGAGCCCAGGAGTTCAAGACCAGCCTGGCCAACATGGCAAAAACCCGTGTCTACTAAAAATACAAAAATTAACCGAGCATGGTGGCAGACACCTGTAATCCCAGCTACTTGAGAGGCTGAGGCATGAGAATCACTTGAACCCAGGAGGCAGAGATTGCAGTGAGCGGAGATGGTGCCACTGCACTCCAGTCTGGGTGACAGAGTGAGTGAGACTCTGTCTCAAAACAAACAAACAACAACAACAACAACAAAACCAAACAGACAAACAGCACTTGTGAAGAACTCATTGCCACCAGGAAATACACACCTACACTATGGACACAGGCAGCCCTCACTGAGGGTTTGGGTGGGAGGGTGCGTGCACCACAGCGATCCTAAAAGCCTCAAGTAGATCCCTTGAGAAAGCCTCCCTGATCGTGAAGCCATCTGCTCTGTGGCCAGACTCATCTTTCCTGTCATGAACATCTGAGTCCACAGAGAGCTCTGGGGTCCCAAGCATCACCTGCTAGGGCCCCCCTCTAACAGGGGCAGTGAGCACAGAGGGACTCCTCAGGGGCCAAGCAAAGATCTTGCTTCTCCCCATTCCATGTCCAAGGCAGACCTCATGACCAATGGCAGTCTTCCTGACTACAATGCCCAGGTAAAGCCTCAGAATCATTCTGGACACAGCATTCCTGGAGGGAAGGAACCCGTGAGATAAATGTATGTGCTGCCTGGGCCAAGCCTGCAGGTGGAAGTGGAAGCTGGGGAAGTGGGGGCTCAGTAGAGGGCCTGCTGGCAGTGACTGAGAGCCATTAGCACCCTGATCATGGAGCCTCACCTCCAAAAAGGCCAATTTTCAGGAACAATGGTTACCGACCTGGAAAAAGCATTTATTTTTAAAATGTGCCATTGGTCATGGTTTCATTTTCATTTCACTGGAGACTTATGTAGCCTCATTGACTGCCCCAGGTTTCTTCTCAAGGCTGCTTTCATGACCTGAAAGATGTAGCACCCTTTGGGCGTGGGGCAGTAACTGTCTCCCAGAGTCCTGAGGAAAGGCAGGCCTCACCTCTGTGGAGTGCAAGTTCAGATATTTGTTAACATGTCCTGACACAGCCGTGACTTTGAAAGGTAGGGTGCTGTTTTTTACCAAGATCAGGACAGATGCTGGGATATAGACTGAGGTCCAGGACAGATGCTGGGACGCAGGCTCTAACTCCTGATCAGGCCAAAGGGACCAAGTTGATTGCTCCCACAGAGCAGAAGCGGACTTGGTGACATGGCTCTGGTGGAGGCTCATCCAGGACATGATGGAATTGGGCAAATCTAATATGATGCATCCTATCTTACCAAAAAAAAAAAAAAAAAAAAAAAAAAAAATTATCCAGATGTGGTAGATAATTATCCAGTAGTCCCAGCCACTCAGAGGATGACTCAAAAAAAAAAAAAAAAAAAAAAATCATTTCTAAGGTGAATGCAACCATAATTGCTGCTTGAAGATAAAATTATTTAAAATAGCAATATTCTCTATGCTGAATGCACAATTGCAGCATTACAATCCTCAAGGGTGTCTCTGTGAGTTCAGATAGGAAAGATTTAGAAACCACAAGCCTCTCCAGGATTTGCAGGACGGCCCTTTATGTCAGGCTGCTACATCCAAGGGGTGAGCTGGCAGAAAGCGAAAAGAGACACGATCCCCAGGAATAAACCTCCAAGTGCAAGTTTTAACTTAAAATCCTATTTCATTTATACCAAATGAGATCTGCAAGGAAGTGACATTTTAAAGGTTCCAGTCATGCAGGAATAACAAAGACAACCATTATGTTGGAAAGAGCAGCTGCTCTTTGATGTTTTAAAGGGCAGAGACAGAGTGCCCAGGTGGAATTAGAGTTGGATTAAGAGGCGAGTTTAGGGAAGAGGCTGAAAGAAAGGGCTGTACAGTTTCAGACACAGATCTGCAGACAGCTTGGCCTGTAGAAATAGACAACCCACTCAGGCCCCAGAGAAAGGCAGGGCCACAGTCCGCTTCCCTGCTTAGGAAGATGCAACTGGGGTTGGGGGAGAGAAGGAGATGGATGAAGAGGGATTTGTTCAACCTGACTGATCCCCTCTAGTGTGCAGACAAGAGTAGAAATTACTGAATTGTTCCAGGAGATAATGTCTTTGAAATATTGTGAACAAAGAGAGACCCTGTTGATCTATCTTCTACTGGGGAAAGAGCAAAAAAAAAGTGACTCAGGTTAACTTTCTTGGCAAAGCTGGGACCTCGAAGAGAGCACTTGCAGAAGATCATTTGCCTGTCTTATCTGTGTCCCAGCAGACATAAATGAGCACCCCACCCAACCCCATCCGCTGCCCATTTAAGCAACTCCTTGGAGTTCAAGTTTTTAAAAGAAAATTCAGCTCAGAAAACACCCTGTGGGTCATGGTTTCAGAATGTGTAAGGTTGGCACATTGCACCTGACAGTATCTGTCCGTATGCCACGACTTCCTTATAAGTTGGTAACAATTGAAAGTTCTTATTCTGTGTCAGTAAGTTCCAGTTCTACAGGAAAAGATTAGAAGGATTTCCATTTTTCCAAAAGGCTCCCAGGTAATGACTATTTTGATGTTATTGTCATTGGAATGTGATGTTTCTTGTGTTGAAGCCTTGTTCTAGGAAAATCTGCTTTGTGCATTTCTTTTCTGGAGTAGAGATTGCAGCTCTCTTTCAGAGGGAAGTTGTAAGTCATTTGTCAGAAAGGAATCCCCTGAAGGAAACAGTGACCAAACCCAGATAAGAGGATGGTCTTTAGGAGGGGGCTTACCAATCACGTTGGTGTGGAGGTAGTGAAGGTCGTCTGTGGTCCGACCCAGCTCCAGGCTTCTCCTCCTCCTCCTGGGCTCCTGCTCTTACCTAGGGGTGTGAACTGCTGCTGCGGGGACTGTGCTCTG